TACTTTGATGACATTATCGTCTAAGAATGATTCAATGATTCATGAGAAAAAGGTCCTTGACATTTTTCACTAGAACTTTCCCCACTACAACATCGTATCAGTTTACACAGCAGTTTCATATTCTAGACCCAACTGTACGCAAATAAAACTGACATAAAAGTGCCTTACACCAAAAGTCTAGTGACATCTATACTTTCCAATCAGAGATATAACATAGTTATCAATCTATCTGTCCCTTCCTCCCTACATGCCAGACAAAATTGTTAACTGCTTTTTCCCTAATGACTTCTGAAAGAAAAAAAATCATGAGGAAATCAATGGGGAAAAGTGTCTCTCACTGTCCTTTTGTATAGTGTGTAACATGAATACTTTCTTAAGGTTAATATTTCATTTATAGCTCTGATTCTCAAAAGCAATGCATTTCAGATCAACAGTCGCTTAGGAAAAGGTTTTGAACAAGTGCTTTATAAGGCCTTTGGTCCAAGATTGTTTCCAAGAAAACCATGAATGCAGACATGGCAAGCCCTGAAGATTTAATTCCTCAAAAACAGGCAAAATAAACTAGTGAACTTTTTCCCCATCTTTTTCCTAATGCATTGAAAAACATTATTCTGCAATTTTGTCTACACTGCCTATAAAAATCACCTAAAAAACTATAGGTTGATCTATTTAATGACAGAAGTCCTCTTAAAAGTTGAACCTTCTGTTCTAATTTTCAGTGTACTGAAACTTAAAAATATGCTTAAGTTTGCATTCATAAATTTGCAGTAATTACGATTATCTCATTTCAGGCATTTCTAGACATTCAGTATTAGCCTAACTTGGTGAGGTTTACCACTATTGCCTCCTTACTTTTTATTGCTTAGTATGAACACCTCCACAGGAGGGCTTTGCACTGCTTCAAAACCAGCTCTACACTTGTACCTTTGTACCATGTCCCTTGACGTGGAAAGCTGAGGTAGCCTTTTCCTGGTTCTGTACTGGTTTATCTGAAATGGAATCAAAGCAGATTTCTTTCAAAGCTACATGTCTTGATGGAGATTGTGGCTGATTTCTTTTCCGGTGCCCAGGAAGTCTTGCCTCATCCTATCTCTTGAATTCAAATCAATGTTTCCCCCTCACCCCTAAAGTTTAGCTCCTAGTTCTTGAGTATTCATCTTCCCCTCTTCCCCAACCCAGCCACTGCACTATGGCTGCAGCTATTGGAGAAGAGCACCTGTTGTAAAAGATGCCAACATGCTATTAATCAGCCACCATGGTTTACAATGGATTTCATACAATGAAGTGATGATGGCTTAATACCTTCATATCAATTATTCAGGTTCTTCACCAAAGCCAGAGAAATACAGATGATATATACTAAAAATGGGAGTGGGGGAGAGAGAAATTCTAGTTTATTCCATTTCCTTACTTTCTGTGCGGTGTACAGATGGGCATTTTTCTTACTAATGTAATGGTATGTGGGAATGACCTTGGGAGACAGGAGGAAGAGCCATAGCCTAGACAATGATCGGATAAACAAAATTTGAGTGTAAAGAAGGAGGGGTGGCAAAAGCATCTGAGAAGGGACTGTGAGAGTAGGCTGACCCTGCCATAACCTAAAGATGAAGCAGGCATGTAAGCAGAGAGGACAAAAGCCAGGAATCTTGTCTATGAGATCCCTTCGGGAAGGTAGATAA